ATAAAAGTAAGATTGCGTTAGGAGCACCACTTACCTACGACTGGCAGCAAAATTATCTAGCTCTTCTTCTTTTTTGTATCTTGAGCTAGTGGGTTGCTCTACCAGAAAAGGAGACATGCTAGAAATTCATATTTGAGTTAGAGAAGAAGCATCGTTTGAAGTTGGAAAATCAGATGAACAAACTATTTCTTTTATTACATAGTCAATTGCTCATAGTTCTCGTTTGCTTGCCTTTGGAGCATAAAAAGGAAAAATAGTGGGTGCAAGTAACCTAGACGAATGCGTGTTGGTGTTTTGAGAAGCACTAAGATCTCTGTCATTCCCATCAACATCAAGTTTTGTATCGGAGTCAGACGCCACCTGCAAAGAGATAATTCTTTAGAAGAGTTATGTCTTAGTTACCTTTTTTAAGGTCTTGAGATGGGATATGGCAGATAAAAAAGTAGAGAAATCACATTTTTGTCATGTTGCTTCAGAGCAGCACCCAGAAGCTGTCGCGCTATTAACAGGGAAGGTAATTGGTCTTGAAGAAGGTCAGTTTCTTGAAGACGACTTTTGACCGCGTCAAAGGACGAAATTAGCTTAAAACAGAAAAACAATTAAAGGATGTAAAGATGAACTAAAGGAAATAGTAAATTTGGGAATAAAGAACACAAATAGTTTAAGAAGTTTTCTTCTAAAGATACAGTACGAACCTTCACTATATCTTCCCTTCGAGCATTCCGCCCCTGTTTTGTAATTTCTTCGAGTGTCGTGGAAAAAGAAGTGAGCCAATCATACAATTCTTCATCCAGCCAGTATAAATCACTCAATGACATATATTAATTTGAGTTTATAGCGGAACTGATGAGTTTTACACTTTTGTCAGTCCTAAAAAAGGACATTGTACCTTTATAATTGTCAAAAGAAGAATTGTATCTAAAAGCCATTACTAATTGCCTTCGTTATAGTACGTTAAAAAAGGCGATGTCTATAGTTTACGTCCTGTCTGTCGCACTACACACAAAACAGCAGTCAGGCGCTCGAACAATCAAAACATGGGCGTCATCAAACAGTTAATGTTCATTTAGCA